AGATACCTAACTATTGAAGGAAACAACGAACACCACCTATTACCATACGGTAATTGGAGAGAAGGATCGTAGATGTTACTGTTATGACTTTACCATTTTGCTTTTTGCGCTAACACTTTTACAAAGGTATTACTATACTAAAAACTGGGAAACAACAAGTCTATCTAGTGTATAAACATTGATTTTACTGTGTTAATAACTTTGTTTTGGCCATATTGCTCCTGCACTAGAGGCAGCTCCCAAAGTACATAAAAAAGTGAGGTGGACCTTGAACGAGAGTAGCAGTTTCGTAGTCTAGTCAGGAACGGGCGACGTAGCAGTTAAGTCACATGTCATCCCCGCCCCGCTCACAGACTTCCTAACAAGTAGCATCCTACCGAGACCACCAAGAGGCCAATAGGCGGTAGGAGGTAATAGCGAGGTGCTAGGAGCCAGAGGCCGTCTTTTTCGATATAGCAGGCTCCTGGCTCCTCGGCGCCTTATTTTATCAGCTGGACTCTGCCCCGGTCCTCTTCTTGGGCATACACGCGAGGTCTGCGTACTTGGGGAATTGGGGCGGGGACTCGAGGTGGAGAGCCGAGTGATCTTACTTACCTTTATTTAGATCTAAGTGCTGAAAATCACGTAAAATGTGTGAAATTCCTGAGATTGACTTAAGACTACACCCTATATGTTATCAATATGACCCATCAAATAAATCAAAAAGAAAAAATTTCATATGGCGACTAAACTTTCTGCAGAGAGGGTACGACCAGTTGCCCCTTTTCAGAAAGACCCGGCCCACTACAGCCTGACTATGCCTCAACGTCAGGCGGCAAAACCTGGAAGCTTATAAGGTAGTCTCAGCCGCGTGAAGGACCCGATAACTCCTCTCTTCCCAGGTCGACCGCCGGCGCCGTCACCTCCGAACGGGACATTCTTCAACATCCTGCAACATTGAAGTTGAACCAGTCGTTCTCTCGTTCGGGTAGTCGTCAATTCTGTCGGCTTCGTGTCCTATAGAATTCCTCTGAACCCCGGAAATAAGAGTTAAAGTAGAGGTTTAGCGGGAGGAGCTGAGAAGGCCAGGAGTCATCACGCGCCTTTACTTAAAGAGTCGCGCGGGTACAACTTCCTGTAGAGTAAAGAGATTACGCGAAGCATCCGCGCTCCGAGCTCGCAGCTCCTCCGAGAGACCTGCCTCGAGATATGGCCCTCTGTGACTACCCAGGAGGTGCCAGAGGGTGCCGAGAAGCACTACGTAAAGCCCTGTCTCTACATAAGTTCCAGCACTCGTGTGGCCGGCCTGTATAGAGTCGGTTACTGTCGAGGACATACGTAGGGGACCTAATAATGAAATAATTGCGAAAGTACTGCTACGCTAAAAATGTCTCTCTTGCGACACTCCAGGGCACGTCTTTCGTTCGTACGACACATATTGATGTTATATATAGTGACGGCATATGCCGGATGAGAGGAAATAAACGAAAGCAAATCATTCTATTGGATGTTGTTCTCAGCATAAAAAGATTTTGTAAATCACGAGCGTATATTTATGTGTTGCCGACGTCGATCAAGAAGGTCGCTCGTATGCGCGACACACACCACATCCACACCAACACACACACCCATGTCACACGGAGCGGCGAACACACACCATCGACACAGCATTGCTGACGTGCGCCTGTCGAACTGTACGAGCTGCAAGTCAATCGTAGTGGGACGATGCGACTTGTGCGAACAAATGCAATCGTATATCGGATGAGCAAGAAGGGAGACTACTCGGTTCCTTTGCATATTTACCCTGAGCCATCTGAGGCCTCCATTCGACCTTTGAACTCGCTCGTACGATTATGTTAAAGGTAATTCACCATGTGAGAACACGTAACACTAATATTGATATAATTGTGAATCTGAAAGAAATATGAAAGAATAGTCTCACCCGCGACCTGAATCCCATGCCACCACGTGTTCGAGGTGGATCACAGGTCGTCTTTCATAATGTTATTACTAATGGTTTTACGTTTAATGATTTTTTCTATATTTAGTATAAAATCTAGTACAAATAAGTAGACTAAGGCAGACCATGTAACGACAAAATCAGACACGAAGAAGTTAATCACCAGTCACCGACCGATAACTGCGACAAATCTCGGACACCCTGTTTGGGCTAGTACGGGGAGGGAGAGTGAAGAATTCAGTCACCCAAAGTTGAAGAAAGGACAGGTTTGAAAAAGACAAACGTTCAGCACCGGGGGGGTGTGTTTATTCAGTCCGAGTCACCGCCGCGGGGCTCTAAATAAAACTTCGAACTCGAAGTATCTCCCACCGAGTTTGTAAATCCAAAGGTAATACATGCGCCGCGCGATGTCACCCTATAAAGAGATGACGTTTAGGGGTGAGTTTACGTGTCACATGGCGCTGACAGATGTTATCTCCGGAGCTATTAGTCGAGTACCGATATCCACATGTCCCATATTCACGATAGAAATACCACCACACACTGGAGTGATCCTACCAGCCCCCCTAGTGAGGGGTCCCCTTCTAATAAAATTAAACTTCAATTTTTCGTAGTAGACCACGTGAAACTCTCGTTTACTTCTCTAGGATACCTATGAGAGAGTTGTGGTAAACTTTGTCTTGACATTGTCTAAATGAAAAATGAATCTACCTATAAGAATGTTAGTGAGGGAAAGTTCGACATGAAGAACAAATACAGATATCATGAAAAGTATGGACAGAAAAGTAAATAAAGAATAAAAAAATATGATATTTCCCCCCCCCCCGCTAGGTATATTCTGCCACCGAGCGCTTATTAACAAAATCGTATTACCCACCTGGTTCAAACTCTGGTAACTCTCTGTGACTCTCTAGAAATCGAGTGACTCGAGAGCAACTGGGTTTTGATATATAACATCTCTTTTTCTTCTCTCAATTATTTTATTTATATTGTGCACTCTAATCAATATTAATCAAACTATTGTTCGTTTATACATTTTAAGAATGGCGTTTATCTTTTTTGAGAATGAGTTCTTATTTTTATTTTATTTATTGGGGTCTACAACAGATGATACAAATGTTTGTGTCAGTAAATGTGTAGTCGGGGGTGTGTGTGAAAACAACGGGGACAGAGCTGCTGTCAGACGATCAGCTGTGCGGCGTCATCACAAACGGACGTTGCTTCACGTGACGCTCCGGAGGAAAGGACGTCCCATTGCTCTTAAAACTAATTTCCCTGCTTCTCGTGGTTTCCTTGCGTCCCTCCATGCTTCCCTGGAGGGAGGGACTAAACACAGGGAAACGACGCAAGTGAGGGACGCAAGGAATCCATTTAACCGAAGTGAGAAGGACCCTTGGATTTCATTTAACCGACCTGAGACGGGGCCATGGGTTCTTCTGCTCTGACCGCTAGGCATGATGGGTAATCTGTGACGTTTCGCTTTCTCAAAAGTTGGGCCATTTTGCCTTCATGCGCCAATGAGCAGCTCTCATAGGAAAGAACGAGACCCCGCCTCCCACGCTGTATCCAGTTCTTATTATACATCCATGCCCTCGATGCCTCGAGTAAGAAAAACGGAATATGTCGGCCATTGTTTTAGCGTTGTGGTCTCTGACTTTCAGCAATGTGCTTTGGATTTCAGGTCAGTTGTTTTCATTGACTGACACTACTTTTAGGATAGTTAGCATAACGACAAAGAAAACGCAGCAACAGAACGTTCTTTTTTTTTAACACATTTTAAAGGTGGAAATGTGTATTATGATTGCAAGTTAAAGGGGCTCTATGCTGCTTTTCGTGGTTTTCCTCTCCTGTAGTGTGTTATAAAGTTTTTAGTGCATGTAAATGGTCTGCAAATGGTGAAATCCCAAAGTTCCGGTACATAGGGACATCACTACGCAACACTCGCGCTCCAACACATTGTACGTTACTGATAAGCTAAGGGGCGGGACATCTCTAAACTGGTTGACCAATCACAACAGAGCCGGCCAGCTAACCAATCAGAGCAGACTGGACTCTGGTTTTAGACAGAGGGTGAAAAGAGGTGCTGCAGCACAGGCAGTATGAGAACAATAAAGGTCTTTCTGAACATTAAAGCATGGAGACATGTCCCAGAGGGTAAATGGGTAAATGGACTTCGTTAATGAGGACGCAGCTCGAACAAATCGAGCGCTCTTCCTTCATCTCGTCTCCTAGCAGCGTCTGAATTGATGAGTTTGTGTTATCATTGACATGCTGATTCCTCTTTTGAAGTTCACTAATGTATTCTGAGGGCCTCTGAAGAAAACTGTATTTTCTGACGGATGGACAAGAGGAGAATCTGCAGCTCCCCTTTCTTGCTTTGTTCTCCAAAAAGATCATGAAAAATGTCCCTTACGGCTTTTATTTTTGAAGAATTGCGTTTACACACAAATACTTTCATTTGGATATAGAAACAACTATTTTCAGTCGATTTATTGGTCCTTTTATTCTTTTTTGAATAGGATATATATTTTTTTATATATATTTTTCAATTAGTCACTTATGAGCCATATACGTAAAGACAATTTAGAGAGTGGTGTATTTTCTGGGTACTTGTGTGTGAATACACTTACAGAACAAACCCACATTTTGACTCATTTTATACCTTAAATATAAGAGTTTGATCTCATCTCAACGTATACTTGTTTATTTTTTAAATGTTTCAACCAGATGAGTTTATGTTTCATACTTTCTGCTAATTTTGCTGGTAAATTAACTATAATTAAAGTTTAATGGATGACCTTTCCTCACAGTTTGATGTACTTTCACCTGAACACACACACACACACACACACACACACACACACACACACACACACACACACACACACACACACACACACACACACACACACTGTTTACTACTGTGTGTGAAACCCCACCCTACAGGAAGCAGTCACTGAGAATATTTGCTCCCTCCCCAACCAACTTCCCGTTCTCTGACACACACTTCCTCTTGTGTGTGTGTGTGTGTGTGTGTGTGTGTGTGTGTGTGTGTGTGTGTGTGTGTGTGTGTGTGTGTGTGTGTGTGTGTGTGTGTGTGTGTGTGTGTGTGTGAAGTCACAAGTGTCGGCTTGTGTTCTGATTCTCATGCCAATCCGCCCCATTACTTTGCCCTTAAAGGAGATAAAGAGCAGGATAAAATCACACTACTTTAAATCTGTGGGGAATAAATTTGAGCAGCTCGTGAAACAGGAGAGGAAATACATGTTCCTTAAACACGTCTTAACAAATATCCTCTTGTTCAAAGGCCTGCAGGGATTCAGCGAGCATTTATCCGCAATGTGATCTAGTGATAAGACAAATTACACCACACTGCACCCTCAGCTGATGTTTTTAACGTGGATTTAACCGATAGATCGACCCCTTTTTGAAGCAATAACCAACGTGTAATTGGTTTCACAGAGTAATGTGCTGCCACTTGCCCTTAAAACAGCTCCAAGCCAAGAACATGTACTGTTGTTTTTAGGGATTAAATAAGATAAATATATCATTTTAATTAATAAGCTTCAGAGGTGCTGGAAGGGAGACTTGGTTTCTTTTTGAGCGAAGCTAGGCTAGACTTGGCTGAAGCTACATATTTCCCGAACAGATGTTAGAATAAGACTTGAAGCAAAATAGAGAATATAAATATCTCCTTAACACAAAGATAAACCCCTTCACTTTAATTAATGCAGTTTTATTCTCAGAAAGCATGCAGGAAAAGCAACGTTTCTTCATGAATTCCGAGCAACACAGGGGGGATAATTGTTAAACAAATTACTTTTTTAATAAAGGATTCCTGGAATATCTCCCTCTGTGCTTTTCAGAATGATATTGATTTTCTTCTCCCTGCAGAGGCTTCAGAGCGTCTGCACTGCTTTTGATGATCTGCTCTCAGCGAAATGAAAACATCCATTTTCAAATCCATCTGGCGTTGGTGTGAACGCACGTACTAAAGGAAAAGTAGAAGTACTCAGATCTTATGGTAAAAGTAGAAGTACTCAGATCTTGTACTTCAGTAAAAGTAGAAGTACTCAGATCTTGTACTTGAGTAAAAGTAGAAGTACCAGAGTGTAGGAATACTCTGTTACAGTAAAAAGTAGAAAAGTATTATCATCAAAATATAGTGAAAGTAGCGACAGTAAAAGTAGTCATTGTGCAGATTGGTCCATTTCAGAATAATAGATATAATGATTGATCATTAAAGTGTTATCAAAGCTGGTAAAGGTGCAGCTAGTTTGAATGACTTTGTATACTGCAGGGTAGCTTGTGGATTTACTCCAGGTGGAACTAAAGTCTGATTTAACACTTGATTATATTTCACATCATGACGGTGTGATTTATAGAGCATGCTTTCAAGTGAGCGCTGTAATGCAGCTAGTAACCAGAGATGGCAAAAGTACACATCCTTTCCTCAAGTAGAAGTACAGATACTCGTGTTTAAAAATACTCTGGTGAAAGTAGAAGTACTGACTAAACTTCTTTACTCAAGTCAAAGTAAAGAACTTTGAAATGTACTTCAGTAAAAAGTACCCATAACTAGCAGCTGTTTTAAAGAGTACCTGACCTCCCTTTATATTAATAGAACAATAATGTCATTGTTAGCTAATGAATGTTTCCATGCTGAACAACGGCAACATGACAACGTTTTCATTGGTCCCTCTGGACGGGGCGGGTGCAGCATGGTGAACTTGGTTCTTTTCCCTCTTCTCAGCGGTTTTCTTTTGTGTGCGAGTTGTGTAGAGACCTCAGCTTCGCGTATGGATACCAGTAGTTAATTTAGTATGAAGATGTAATAAACCCTTATTAACCGCATCAAAAGGGGTCTTGTCTTTACACTTGTAGCCTACTTGAGACCAGGTTTAGGAACAACACCTGTAGAACTATGAGAGACATGTTTGAGTATTTAGTCTTTTGTGACCCTCGATAGAGGCGTCTCGCTAGTCACGAGGACGTCGTTCGTGCCGCCGATATTGGGTGATTAATGAGTACTTCGTCACTAAAATAGGTGTGCTCCGCTTCTCTGGTGGGAATTAGCAGACGACCCGCTCACAAATGCTCGGCGGGTGTGTGAAATGGGTCGTGTCCGTTGTGTGTCAGTGTTGTGGCCCGCGCGAAATTGTGCACTAAGTTCTGCGTCATTACTCTATCGCCTGTCAATTTGACCGTCCTCTAGCATTTCTCTCCCAGTCATGCTCGTCTGTCCTTGCGACTGTTTGTCGCTTTCCAGAGAGCAAAGACGCCCCCTTACCTTATATCGTCTGAGAACGGTACCATTTTCGGCGGGTTACACGTTGGTAGGTAGGTGAGAGGACGTCACCGAACCGGGGTACTTGTCCCCAGTCCCATGATTACCTCCTGGGGACCGGACCTTTGTTTTGGGGGGATTGAAAGCCGAGAGAATATTTAGTCTCTGTTCCGAAGTAACCCCTCACACGTCGCAGGAGACTACAAGACCGGTACAGAGTAAAGTTCAGGACGGACGTTCCGAGTGTACCAAAGGAGTGACACGCACAACCGCACACGCACACACGCAACGCACACACACGACTACACACACACGGCACGCCGCACCACGCACCACACACACACACACCTCTCTCTCCCCCTCAATGGCGCTCTGTCACTGCTCTTTCCTTTCTCAAACCTCAATTCTCTCCCTTATCTTTTTCTCGGTCCCTTTCACTCGAGATTTTGTTTACAAACAAGTCAATGATGGGTCCACCCTTCATGTTTATGAAACAATGACATGAATTCATGTACAAAGGACCATAGTCATGGATTAATGTAGGTGATGAAATAAAAAGACTGGTGAAAACTGAAATTGAAGAATGTACACTTGTGTTTATGGACATGAAAGATGATGAAATGTACAACTTGGGTTATGGACATGAAAGATGAAGAATGTTACAACTTGTGTTTATGGACTGAAGATGAAGAATGTACAACTTGTTGTTTATGGCACATCAAAGATGAGAAGAATGTACCAACTTGGTATTATGGACATGCAAGGATGAAGAATATAGCAGACTTGTGATATGGGACATGAAAGATGAAGAATGTACAACTTGTGATTATGGACATGAGAAGATGAAGAATGTACGACTTGAGTTTATGGACATTAAAGAATGAAGAATGGCTACACTTGTGTTTATGTACATGAAAGATGAAGAATGTACAACTTGTGATTTGGACATGAAAGATGAAGGAATGGTACAACTTGTGATTATGTGACATGACAAGATGAAGAATGTACAAACTAGTTGATATGGACATTAAAGATGAAGAATGTACAACTTGAGGTTATGACATGAAAGATGAAGAATGTACACTTGTGGATTATGGACATGAGGATGAAGATGTTACACTGTGATTATGGGACATGAAAGATGAAGAAGTAACAACTGAGTTTTATGGACATGAGAAGATGATAGAATGTACAACTGTAGTTTATTGGACATGATGAAGATGAAGAATGACAACTTGAGTTTATGGACATGAAAGATGAAAGAGTGTAAAAGGTTTGTCCGACCCAAGGAAATCAACTTACACACAAGCCACCGCACTAGTAATAATTAAATCTCAGTCGCCGGGATAACTAAACTTGTGCTGCACATAGGGTAGTAAAGGACCAGAAGAG